TAAAGTTACAACTTAAAAGCACCAACTTCAGTGGAAATGCAAGCATGTCAAAAAGCACATACCCCAATAGTACCAGTTTTCAGTTTGAATTTGCTCCCTCCCTTCATGGCTCCAAACATCGGCAGGGTCTTTTTCGACTTCTGCTCTGAGCTGCTATCAAATCAAGACAGATCAAAATATCAACTTCAATCTGACACATTCATAGGATAACTTTTAGGTTAAAAACTGCTGCTTTGTCTGACCCGGGCAGCAAGGAGGGCATCTGCGCCGGCCTCGTGAGTTCAACCAGTTTGCGGAGCCTCTGAGCATCTTTCCGCAAGTCGGCCATGTGCACGTGAAGCTTCTTGCGTTCCACCGCGTCCATCGCTACCTCGCTTTTCACTGCGGTCATGAAGGCCTCCAGCGAGTCTTCAGTCGATGACGTCAAAGACTCTGATAGGAGTGAAAAGTTACAGACTGGACCTTTTAAAGTCTGTAGAAGTGTGAACAGGTGATCACAGCTCACCTCCTTTTCCAGCACTGAGCTTTTTCTGAGTCTCTGCCAACTCCTTCTCCACCTCTTCCAGTTTGGCCACCTACAGAAAAATAATCAACAGTTATGGACACGTGCAGAAAATCGCTTCTTTCTTTAGATGTGTTTTAATGGCTGATGATGCTTTAAATGCTCTTGATTTGTCTGTCAGGTATAAAATCTCCTTCTCAGTTTGCGGACAGACAAGTCCTGGACACACTACATGAGTAAACTTCTTTGAAGTTAGACAGGATGAACTGAGGGGCGGCACCATGGCCCAGCATATAAATATGGAGCTGGAAATTTACAGAATAGGTCCCCTTACAGACAGTGGAGCCCTTAAAACTTTCAGAAAACAGCCTGAAAGACAGTACCCAGTTGATGCTCTCACTGTTGTCTGTTGTTTTTATGCTCCTGTCATTTATAAAACTATGCAAATGTTTACCAGTGAGTCATAGGTCTCGGGCCGCTCCTCGAGCTTTCCCGCTTTCTTCATTCGTTCCTGCCTTTTCCTCTCCACTGTGCCGGTTCTATCCAGGAAGGTGTCATCATCGCTGTCATAGTAGTCATCGTCTTCCCAGTTCTTCTTCTTGCGCTTACGGGACACTGAAAATCAGATGCAGAAACTCTTAATGAATTTTCCAACACAACTTCCAGTCCTCTCAACACGGGACTGAGCACACAAACCTGCTTCCTGGCGCAGCAGCCCTCTGGCTTCCAGCATGCGACACGCCTCAAGACAGCACTGGATGGCAGCTTCTTTCTTCTTTCCTGTGTGGGTCACCTCTGCAACCAGCTGACGACCCATAGCGTCGTCCACCGGCAGCCTGTTTAAAAAAAAAAAAAAAAAAAAAAATTAACAATCAGCACATACAGCTCGATAAACACTTCACAGCCTGCCTGGAAAAAAAACAAAAGAATTTATTCCCCTTACTTTATTCTACAAAGCCAGGTGCCGTGGTTCTTGTCCTCATACTCAAACTCCAGCTCCTCCCCTACAGAAGACAAGCAAAGAAGTTCAGTGAAAAAAAAAAAAGCAGAATCTGCTGTCTGTGAGTTCTAGTTAACTGCTAGTTAGTATATTCTTTAACCTCTACAACTGAGAGTATTTAACCATTCTTTAATCTCATGAGACAGTAAAGTTTCTTTTGGATTTTCAGCTGTTGGTCATAAAAAACAAAGAATTTGGACCCTTCATTTTGATGTATGGTTTTTAACTATCTTAGGCCAACTTGCCCAAAATAACCCTCGACCTTTTGGAGTAACTGATTTTTTTTTTCCAGTAAATACATACAGACCTTAATTTCCTTGATTTTAATTTCAGTCTTTTAATGCCCTGCAATACTTCTTCTCACCTTCTCTGTCATAAAAGCCCTGCAAAGCCTTCTTGGGGTCCTTCAGGTAGGCTGCTTCCTGGTCTTCGTGGAATTCTGTTGAAAAGGGGTTTTCCTCGTTCTCGTCTTCCTCTGGAGCTGCTTCTTCGACTGCAGGGAGGATTTGTGCAGAGGTAATGTGAAAGGTAAGAGAAAGACCCAAAACACTGAAATCATGTATCAAACCAAATGACACGTAACACACTCCAGCTTCATCCAGCAACAGCAGTGACACACTCACCCATTCCCCACGAACAGCCAGAGTCTTCATTTGACACTCTGCCATCGTCCCTGTTTTCATCCTCCTCCTTTTCTTCTTTTTCCTCATCAGAACCATCTCCCATCATCCTCCTCTCCAGCTCTTCCTTCTGTTTGCGAGCTTTTTCCCTCAACTCTGTCACTGTCAGTTCAGACTCGTCTTCCTCATCAAACTCTGGACCCTGCAAAAAGAAAATGAAGCTCAACACTCAAATGTTACTCTTTTTAAAATATATCCCTTCACACCTGAAAATCTTACATGCATAAAACCTTTTTCTGGTACATGAAGAAGAAATCAGTTACAGTACTGAATGTTTGTAATTTTGATTGATGGATGATTCTTTTTCTTTGCATAACACACAAGCTTCTCTCTCCCAGCTCTTCTAGAAACACAGCATGGCATTTCAAGCCAGTTAAAAGAAATGTTCTCTCTAGTCTGTCCTGAATCTCCTCCCAAATGGACATGCCCAGAAACACCTCAGCAAGCACACATACAGGAGCAGCTTTACACGTTTTTTGGCTCTTTTTGATGTTGAGCAGCACCAGTCTATTCTCTCATCCCATCTCTTGCCAGTGTAGAAAGACCCCAAGATAACTGAACTTATCATACCCAGCACAAGCTGGATTTCACTGCTCGGTAAAGCCAGCAGACATCATTCACAAAAGGAAAGTTGTGATTCTAAGGCCACCAGCCACCCTCCACCTTCTGGCTGTATTTAAAAATTATGTCCATAAGAGTTATGGAAAGAATCATTGATAAAGTGCAGCCCTGGGACTCTCATGAGTCTAACTTAGTGCAGTCAATGCTAACCAGGTGTACATGCAGTAGTACAGGGACTGAATAACTCATAATAAAGGGTCATGCTCCGAAAACATTGACCAAAGGACTGCCCTGAGGTATGAAGTTGAATGCCTTTTCCAAATTTATGCACCCAAAACATCCCTGATGTAAAAGGCTGGCTAAAAACTGCACTCACAATCTGGGAGTGCTTTATATGATGGATAATATATTTTTAATGATTAATTGGTTAACAGCTTAATATCTTTCTTGTATCATGTCAGATACACGCTGATGTAACCTTCTAAAAGTAAAGAATGATGCGGTAAAAGATGCTTGCGGTAACTGATGTGTGTGGTACCTATAGAGTAACGTTTGGTGGTATGACAAGTAGTGTTTTCACACCACTTACTAAGTATTATTATATATTGTGGCAAATAGCAGCCACGTTATTCTGCCTTTTTTAAAGTAACTATCATACTGCTGGTACATATGAAGAATATTGCCTCTATATTAAAGCAGACCTCTTGTCTTTTTTGTATTTTCCGTCATATATATCCTGTTTCAGTTGTGGCTTATCATGTTAAACGTGGCCAAAGACTGAAATGCTAGTGTGTAGATAATTTGTGTAAGCTGAAAGCTCTAAACATGGCATTTCTTACAGTTTTCCCCAACACTTTAATCTTTATGATGCCATCGTTATACTTAGGCACACAGAAGCCGCACCCATCTGCTGCTCAAATGTTCTGCTTAAATGCCATAGCCAATCACAATACAATTTCCTTAATGAGTGAGAAGCTAAAACTGCATACTGCAAACAGAGGATGAACCAGGGAGCAGCACAAAGGCCCAGTATGGGAAAAATTAGGATTATTTTGAAGTGTGAACCACGCAAAGTTACACTAGAAGAGTCCAAGAGTAAAGCATAAAAAGTATCATTCAAAGCTGTTTAATAATGCACAGGCATGATTAACTGAATTCGTGTTTATTCTACAGAGAAACATTTTTGTGTAGCTGCAAGGAATCCATAAGAGAACTTGATCAGCCCAACCAGGCAAGATTAGCACTGTGTCAAACAGCTAAAATCAAGACATTTTAGAGACCCTCCCTGTCATCGTTGATCACCACAACAGACATTACCTGCAGGATAAAAAGCCTCGTGCTTCCTCCAAACTTCAACACGTGCCCCACGCGGACTCTGATGTAAGTTTTCGGTGGGATCTTGTTCTTGTTCACCACAGTGCCGTGCGTGCTGCTCAAGTCGTAGATGTAGAAGCCCTTCTCTTCTCCCATGCAGCCCGCGTCCTCCCCGGCCTCTCCACGGTATTGAATCACTGCGTGGTACCTGGAGATCGAGGGGTGCTCCAGGGAGAGATCGCACACAGGTAAACGTCCAACCACAAAGTAGCTCTTGTCCACTAATGGTACCTGATCCACTATGGTGCCATTTTTTAGGATTTCAAGAGCGTACGGGGTATCCGAAGCAGTGCCACCCCAGGGAGGCTCTGTGTAAGGGAGAGGGGGTAATTTGCCAACTTGGGGGGCTTTAGTAGTGAGCGCTCGAGGTTTAGCTTCTGGTTTGGTTTTGTCCTTTTCGGACTTTTTGTCCTTTTCTTGGCCTTTTTCAGAGGTTTTGCTTTCGCCATCAGCTTTATTTTCTGTGATGGGTTTGGACGGAGCAGTGACGTTGGTGCGTTTTGCGGTGAAGCTAGGCGCCGCAAAAAGAGCCGGTTTCTTGAAAGGCTCCTCCGCTTCTGGTTGTTTAGTTTTACCCGAGTCTTTCTCTCCGGCTTCCTCTCCATTTTCTGGTGCCAAACGCTCATTAGAGTCCATTACAGAGTTCATTTCGTCGCCTGTGTCCATCACGTCTGCTGCTGGCGGGGAGGCAGCCATGTTTATTTGGTGCAGCTCTCAAACTTGGCCGGGTACTTTAACCTTTAAAAATTTACAACTACATCTGATAAATTATGTAAATCGAAGGAAAGCCGTCGGATATTATAAATTCTTAAACAGTCCCACATTACATGAATATATTTTTTAATTTGTACAATTCAAAACGAACTTTTTGTTGTGGAACTAAACATTCAACATAGCTATTTACCCGAGTTCTTTTCCTCCAAGGACGAAAACCCTTAGTTTCCCGTTAAGCTTTCTTCAACATTCAATCAACAGCAGACGTTTCCTCCATCCCAGGGTAACAGCAATGTGTTTTTTAAACCTCATTTACATTAATAAACATGCCCGTGATGCATTAAAATATGTAGCTCGGCGTTGAGTTAAAATAAACGAGTGCATCAGTAACTCAAACCGCAAAGGTCCTGGAACCCAGCTTTATATTCCAGCCAGACAACAGACATTTTGCGTTTTTCTGTCATTCGAAAAACATCAGGTTTTGTTAATCATAGACTTCAGACTTTAAAGGAACCAATGCAGTTTGATCTTCTTTTCGGGATATAAAAGCATAGCGAATAGACATGTATCCTGCCGCTCTTTCATCAGTTATTACGTTTGGAGAGGCTGCTAGCCACGCTGTCTTGGTTTATCATAAACGTTGCCCTTAAAGTATGTCAAATGTACGAAAAGTGATCATGAGATAACAATGTAGTTGTAACAGATCTTTTAAATGTTGTGTTAGCGTTTTCAGCTTTTCACAAAACCAGTATTTCACAACTTGTTCGCCTGTGATCAACATTTGGCGTAATTTGCTCTAAAATTAACCGGAGTCGTATACATTTAACGACTCGGTTTTATTTAGAGACCTTTTTGTCAAGAGGCATTTAAGTACAACCCGAAAGCTGGACATTATTGAGGGTGATTGGCCTCGCAGAATATTTAAAGTAATTGCAATACTGGTGGTGCAGAGTGGATCAGGATAACGTAAATTGAATTGTTCAAGTGGTTTTCTTGTAAATAACTAACTTTATTTTTATTTATTTACATTTTACAGTGGGGTTTAAATTACACATATGCTTGTAACATTGCAAGAAATAGCAGGAAGCTTCACAGACTTCTGTTAGGGTGAGAAATAAAACAGTTTTGGTCCCTCTCTAAAGAGGCTTTAAAATGGTAAATGGCCTGTATTTATATAGCGCTTTATTAGTCCCTAAAGACTCCAAAGCGCTTTACACAACCTGTCATCCACCCATTCACACACACATTCACACCCTGGTGATTGCAAGCCACATTGTAGCCACAGCCACCCTGGGGCGCACTGACAGAGGCGAGGCTGCCAGACACTGGCGCCACCGGGCCCTCTGACCACCACCAGTAGGCAACGGGTGAAGTGTCTTGCCCAAGGACACAACGGCTGAGACTGTCCAAGCCGGGGCTCGAACCAGCAACCTTCCGATTACAAGACGAACTCCCAACTCTTGAGCCACGATCGCCCCCAAAGAGGCTTTGAAGTCCCAGCAAACTAAATCACAAGAGTTTTAACAGAAAAAGATTACAATCATTTGTTTTGTACAGTAGGTTTTAATTTATGCGAGCCTAAAATACTTATAGGTTTACTGTTAATTATGTTAAGAGAGGCTCATTGCCTTAACTAAATACCTGACAAAAGGGTAGCTTTGATTCAGCAAAGCTCTGTGTGTTCCTTTGGCAGCTGCACACTTTGTTCAGTGAAATAATCACATTTTAATGCATGGTTTAAAGCCAAACCAGACAGTAATGCAGGAAAACAAAGAATAAAATTGCTTGAATTTAAAACAAAATCAGTTTCATACTGAACAAATTAATATGAACAATAGTTGCCTTGATGTTTTCAAAACTTATTCACATTTTCTATACCCCTTTCTGTTTTAGTCTCAACTGCAGTCTATATTCTCCTTGTGTGGTCATGATGCGTTACTGGGGTGAGATCCCGGGGCCTGCGGGGGCTCCTCCCAGTCGCAGTTCCTTTGACTTGCTCCAGCGTGAGTTTCGATCCGTGGAGATGCAGGACCCTCCCTTGCACCAGCCCTCTGCACAGCGGCCACGGCCCACCACAATGCTTGATATCCCCTCTGAGCCGTGCAGCCTCACCATCCACACAGTGCAGCTGTGCCAGCACGTTCGCCGTCTCCGAGGTCTTCTGGCAGCAGCCCAAGCCCAATCTCAGGGTCAGAGCTCAACATCCTCCGAGGGTGGCAGCAAGCTGGACGAGGCTGATACCAACCTGCCGTTATGCCCTCCCACCCCACCTGTTATGCCAGATGACCTGCTACCTGTGGATAGCAAAGCCCCCCGACAGCCCTTTCAGCTCCGCCACAGCGACCCTGAAAGTGACTTTTACAAGTAAGTTTCAGATTGCAGTCCTCTTTTCTAAATCAGTACCTCTATATCTATAAAAATTTATTTCATGGGAAATCAATGACCACCACCCATCATGATCAGCTGATGGGAGAAGGAAGTAATAGATTTAGACACTGAAGGACTCTAAATCCCAAATTTCTGTGTATTCCACATTTCTCATATAAATCTTAGTCAACAATGATTCTTTATCTCCTTCCTTCTTCTGTTTTTAGAGGTAAAGGCGAACAGGTCACAGAACTGAGTTGGCCCTCCTGTAGGCAGCTACTGTATCAGTCTGTAGCGACCGTCCTGGCCCATGCTGGCTTCGAATCTGCTCAGGAAAGCGTCCTGGAGACGCTCACGGATCTGGTCCACGAGCATTACCTGCGTCTAACCCGCCTGCTGCGGGTGGCAGTGGACAGGGAGGCTCGACTTGGAGCCAGTCCCTTCCCAGATGTGGTGGAGCAGGTGTTCCATGAGGTGGGAATTGGCAGCGTTCTGACCTTGCAGCGATTCTGGCAAGTGAGGATCAAGGACTATCACAGCTACATGCTGCAGGTAAGGCTGGAAAGAAAATAGAAATTAAAAATAAATACATGAGACAACATCAATTTGTCATCCTCCAAAGTCTTATACTAATCTGTTTCATATCTCTGGCTGTTTAACTGTATGTTTTTTCTACATTGAATTAGAGCTGAATGACTTCATAGAAAACCCTTAACAGTTACATCATCCAGACTCCTACTTTACCACAGAAATATCTTATTCCTACAGCTCAGTAAGGATCTATCAGAGGAATACGAGCGACTGGTAAATCCAGAGAAAGCTCTTGAGGACTCAAAGTCCCCGAAGATCAAGGTGGAGGCCATGAATGACATTCCCTTCCCTGTTAGTGAGGAGCCTGAGGCTGACTTGGCCTCCGGGGACCAGGCTTTGCCAATGGGGGTCCTTGGTGCCAATGCTGAGAGGCTGGCTTCAGGGCTGGATGGAGACCATTCTCCTCATACCTCAGGTAAGATCATCCTAATCAAATGTTTTCTACCACTCGGACTGATTAGTAGTTATTTCCAAGTTCAGTAGTTTAGTGTTTGAAATGCTTTGTGTCCACAACAGGTCATTACTGATCCCAGTGGTTGCATTACCCTCTTTCAATTACAACTGCAGCGTTGTCTGTAAGCTTTAACTCAGTTCTAAGATTTGACAATATTTGAGGGAGAACCCTAATGAGTCCCTATAAGAAGCACTCTGAGATAGTGGGGAGGAAGAACTCCCTTTTAACATTAGCAACTTTATAGTAGTTTGTAGCAATGTTATTTGTTTGGTAATGGGAATTCTTAAATTAATCTTAATTAATGGGGATTCTTAATTAATCTTAATTGTCACTTCAAGCAAAAAGAGAAGTTAATATATATTATAGAACTGCGACAGCATGGAATTAACCACATTCATATACTTTAACGAATGATTGTTGTGTTTAGTCGTAATTTTCATTTACTAAGGTTTTCAAAGCATCGACTGTAATTTTAAAAGTTATACATAACTGGTTTCTCTCATGCTTCTTCAGCTTTCTCTTGAAGACAAGGTTTCTCGCTACAGCAGGTTTATTTAAATAAATGTGACTAAATCCATTTGCCCATTTAGTGGTTAAAAAAAAATTCCAATTCGCTCCTTAATTCGTCTTTGTTTCATGCATTTCCAAGGTGGAGGTGTGGCAAACAACTCCCCTCTGTGGCCTCAGGTAAAAGTGGAGCCACAGGACGGCGAGGAAGGCCAAGCTTCGGCTCACCATCATCATCACCACCACCACCACGGGGTCCTGGGCGGAGATGTGTTTGAGGACGGTGGGCCCATGTCCACCATGAGTGAGTCAGGAGGAGTAATGGGGCCCTCACCCGGAGGGGTGGGATCTGATGGAAGCTATGCTTCCCATTCGCCCGACTCCATGATGGTTGACGATTTTGACCAGAGACCCAAGAAACGGACAAAGAAGATGTGAGGCTGTTTTGGCAGAGAAATTGACTCTGAGCCAAAGTGCTGAAACACACCAGTGTTAATCTGACAAGAGCGCTGAACTCATGGTGGAAGGCGGGGCTTTTGTAGTTCTTTGTTTTTACTAAATATATTAATGGAGTTAATCACCAAAAGAATAAACATCTTCTGGGGAACCAGCTGCACTAATTCTGGTCATGGAGTGTTTTTCATAAACAAATCTATAAGGAGTTAGTCAACAGTTAGCTTAATGAACAGAGGAAAAGGAAAAACTATGAAGCTCTAATACAAATTGTTTAGTTGAACAACTAAATAATTCAGCTGCAGGGTTTGTTTTCCCGAGCCATTAAGACTCTTGCTCCCTACACACCAATTGTTAAAATTCATTATCATTAAAAGATGCTCTAAAAAGAGAAAATCCTTGTTCTCGTGAGCATGTCTCTGCATGCGATTATGATGTGTTCTCAACTTTGCCTGCTTCGGTTCACTTTACGCCTGGCCCGACAGAGTGGAACGATCTGCACACACCTCACACACCTGTCAACCTGAAGCCGCTCCGCAGAATTAGCATCTGTTTCGGTAATGAGGCCAACCTGTGAATGCAACACCAGAGGCAATTATGGGTTGGTTGTGTGCATCGCGAAGGGCGACATCAATCCAGTCTTAATGGCAAATTAATTAGGCCAGGCATAATTTTGCATGTTCAATGAGCAGGCCTGTTTGAATACATGTGCTTTGCTTTTGTGTGGTCCTCTTTGGTTTTTACAATTAGCCAGGTAATTGTCTGTGCCTCAGGTAGGTCCTGATGGGGGTCATAACTATTGATATTCAATTAGCTGCATCTATTGATTGATGATTGATTTGTTTTCTGCAGTTGAATGTGTCTGACTGCACAAAACAGTCTTCCAACTTATGAGGGAGCTATTAGAATTTCGTTCCTCAAACACAGTTGCGCACTGTGCGTGCAAGCATTCTCCACAACCCCGCGCGTCCACACGTCGTCCGTCAAACTGTCGCTCTCCTGCAAAACTTTGGAACTTCATCACCCACCCACCCTACAGTTCGGACTTCGCACCAAGTGATTCCCACCTGTTCCCAAAGGTGAAAGAACATTTGTTCGGAAGGCGATTCTGTGGCGTCGGCGAGCAGGTATGACATGGGCATTGTAAAACTGCCTACAAAAATTTCTACAAAAATGCATCGACCGAAATGGCATGTAGACAAATAAGTCTTCAAACTTTAAAATGATTTAAATATTATGGAAAATAAACGGTTGTTTGTATTTATAAAAAAAATAGAAGGCCTTACTTTTGGGATTGGCCTCGTACTTAGACACATACATCAAACTGCTCGAGCACCGTGCCTTGAAACAGCCCCTCACTTTATTCCGAGAATAGCTGTTTTAGCTCTTTCTGTTATCCGGGACCTTCAAGGATAAAACTCCTCTTCAGGATCCAAGTTTGTTTGATCAGTGTGATATGTCCAAACTGTTACATAACACTCCAATGCTATTGCTCCATGTCACAGCCGCAAGCTACAGTCACGGTCAAAACCAAGTACACCCTCTATAAATTCTAAGGTTTTACATATTAGGACATACATTATCTAGTTGTTACCAGGTTTTAAAATTCCTGCCAAAGTCATGATAAATGCTCGATGATTCAGATAAGGAAATTAAGCTACATATAAATTAACTTAATTAGCGTTCTGGGATCCTGACAGTATTTTAGTCAGCCTGAGGTCTGGACTTTGACTGGGCCATTGTAGCACTTTAATTTCTTTCTCCTCCAGCCATTCTGTTGTAGATTTGCTGCTGTGTTTAGGTCATTGTCATGCTGCATGTCAATTCTGGCCAAGCTTTAGTTTTTAGACAGATGGCCTCCCATTTGATTCTATACTTTGGCCGTAATGCACAGTACCACATTTGGCTGAAGCCAAAAATCAAAAGCAAACATCTCCATGTTGATCTTCTCTGTCAGGAGGACATTGTTCCAGATGCTTTGTGCTTTGTTTTATTGTGGTTTGCATCTTTACTAAGCTAAGATGTGGTACCATATTCATTTTAGACAGAAGAATCTTTTCTCCCGGAAATGTTTCCCAAGAATCCACATTTGTTCAGTCTTTGTCTAACTATATGTCATCAACATTTTACATGCTAAATGAGGCTTGAGATGGAGATCTTGGGTTTTTTGGGGGCAATTTCTCTGAGCTTTTATTCGGACCCTCTGTACGTCCACTCCTGGAAAGATTGGTGGCTGTTTTGAATGTTTCTATTTGTGAATAATTTTCTCACTGGAGAATGATGGACTTATAATCCTTACCAAATTGATGAATAGCAATATTTTATTCTCCAGAATCATGATGTCTTTTCTCCTTGGCATTGTGCTAACACACATCTGAATGCTGCAGACCAGCAAACCATTAATAGTTCTGCTTTTAGAGAGGTGCTCATACTTGCTGATGACCATTTAGTCAACTGCATTTTATTATTAACACCTGGCTGCTACATATACTCTAACTCCAATGGAAGCAGTGAGGGGGTATACTAGGGTTTTCACACAGTCCTGCATTTTGGCTTAATTTTTGTTAAATAAATAATGACGCAGTGTCATAGTGTACTTTTTCTTTTTTTGCCATGGCTTTACATTCATCGGTGGCATTGACATGAAGGTAATATTTAGATTATACCAAGACAAAACTATTTCAGTGACAGATGAGCAACTTAAGGCAGACCCATTATGCTAATTTCTAGCTCCAGAACTTTTTTCCCCCTTAGACGTCCCTCGGGTGGAAAAAGAAATTAGCATTCTAGACTTTTGTGGGAAAACAATAATAGTTCTAAGCCACGTCTGGATTATTTTCTGCTTTGACATGCAGCTGGTAAGCTTCACAGATGGAACATGAAGGGAATTCTGTGCCAGTTGTTGCAGCAAGAGGTGCCAGCACTGTCTCTTAGGTAACTAAAATGCAAATAACCAACATAAATCTGCAATTTTCCCAGATATCTGGACACACACAATTCATTGAGTTGTTTTAGGAACCCCACCTGCCACATTTGTATCTTTTCAACCCTCCCCTTTAAGGCAACTCTTGTTTTAAGCTGACTTTTTTCTTATTGGCTGCCACTCGCAAACCTGAGATATGAACAGCAGGTGGGCGGGGCCTCTGATTATAGCCAGGGTTGTTTGCTTAAGATCATCATCTGCTCTCATTGTGAGCTTTGAGGCCTCACTGCCTTTGTTATTTGAACCTTGGGTCATTTTAAAATGAGCACCCACTATTCAAACATTGTAGAAAATTAGGAAAGAAAATGTGTGCTGAGGATTGAGGCGATGCGTGCCCCCTTAGACTATACTAAATATCTATTTGAACAATACAGAAACATTATGTTCTAATCTTTTGCTTTTATGATTCACTTTAAAGTGTATTGCCGAAATAACTTCTGTCATGTGTTGTTGACAAGTTGATAAAAAAATAAATTTTTTACAAACTTAATAAAATTGTGGTGTAATGGCCATTGCTGTGACTGGTGGGATTAAATGCATTAAAGCTCAGTCTTTTTATAAGCATGCTCTTTCTGTTTGACCCCCCCTTTCCAGTTTGTCAACAGCTGCTGAGCTGCTTTACACTGGGGAAAAAAGGTGTAATTACAAAAATGTCATGATGGTTTTGGAGAAGGGGTCTCTGAGTGGGGCCAGAACGCACTGAGAGCCAAAGAAAGCCCCCAAACAAGTGATTAATTACCTTCCTGTGTGCACCCTTATTCTTTTAGCATGAAATTTAATCTCTCCAGCTGAGTTGGGAGTTTGTGAGCAGAATGAAGAATATGTTTAATTTTTACACAGTGAGCTCAGAGAATCCTCCAGGGTACATGTTTGTCTATCAAAGACTCACAAGAAAAGTGGAAATAAGACGCTCCTTATAAAGTAGTGCCATCATCCGATTTCTCAGACTTCTATTTATTGTAATCACATAAGAGATACTTTACATGTGCAGTGGGAACGAATAATATTTTATGAGTCAAGATGATCGTATCAACAGAAAGATGAATTGGCAGACATATGGGATGTGACAGGTACAAAGTGTCCCATGTGGCTCGTGCCACTGTTGTAGCCCCAGAGATGAGAAAATTGATTGCATAGCGTCAAGAGTCGCAGCCTGACTCGATCAATGAAAATTTTCTCTTGGGTGATGTGACTAAGAACGTAAAATGAAGCAAGAATTGATCGAATGGCCAGAAACACAATAATGAAAACTGTGCATCAAAAAGTTCAGAGTTGAGTTCAACCAATGTTACAGCCATGTGAATGAAGTGTATGATGGATGCAGCCAACATGACGTCACTCATTAAGTACCTGCTAATTAGTGCTAAGCAACATAAGCAAACCATATTTTTGTACCAATCATGGTAGAGAGGTCCCATTCGGTGACTACACTTAGTAGAGATTATTTGGTTAATTCTGTCCCGAATGCATACTTTACCATGAGCTCTTGTCCTTTTGTGCAATAAAAATAAAAATAGTATCCTGAAAAGTTCTAGACCGCTTCAGCATGCTAACTAGAAAAAAGCATGTTTGTTTGATGTTTTGTTTTCCTCTTCATCAACCCAGCGTGCAGATAGCTGAAGAACTTTTGCAATAAAAGTAACAACATGATTGTAGCTGTAATGTAATTACTGAATTTAGTACAGTAACGTGTTACATTACTACATTCCTGAAAATGTAATGTGATTTCAGTACACTCAACACTGGTCACAAGTTGGCATTACCTGCAGATGCATCCTATAAATTCTACTGAGGATATGCTGATTGGCAAAAAACATGGACATCATTATTTGGCTCATTATTAGCGCTCAGTTCAAAAGACTGCACCTGTGGTGGTATTGGGGCGCATTAATATCTATGGAATTGGCAGCTTGCATATGTGGAAAGGCACCATTATGGACTGTGATACACAGCGGTAAACATGGGCCTGTTACAATTCTTACGAGGCTGCCATCACATTCAAAATAAATACTCAAATATCTAAGTTGTGTGTTTTTTGTGTTTTGTTATGAATAAAAATTGGGTACATGAATTTTTTCTTTTTTTTTCCATTATGTGTTCTAACGTTTTTTGGAAATGGTGTAGTGGTTTATGATTTAACTGAAAACTAAGAAACATGATAAAATACAGTAATGCCTTAGCAAC